CAAGATCAAGTTGGACAGTTCATTTGTGTGTGTTATATTTTAGAATTTTATAAATGCACAGAGAGGAATAGACTCAGACAAATAGATTGATGCCATCTTGAGAGGAATGGTTATCCAAATCTTTCAAATGTCAAATACCGGGCAGCTGCTTCTTCTAGAATTCACTTTTCTCAAAATTACAATCAAGACAATTGGAAAATGTTGAGCAAATTCATAAATACAAATCTCAATCCAGTTTGTCCATATTTTTATCACATCATTTTACTTCCTGGTTTTTAGTGATGACATTAAATGGGCCAAAGCTTCTCCAATGTGCAGACAAAATGTTTTTTTACAGTCTACATGATAATAAAATATTGGGATTATTCAGTGTTGCGATTTATTTAGTCATAACAATAGTATCAGTACAATGCTGGGAGAAGTATGGTAACTTGAGCACTATCCTCTCCTCCTTCCTACTTTATCTGTTTAGCATTTTTAGGATTTTGACTGTAGTTTGTTCATTGCTATTCACCCGTTGTCCCATTGTCTGTTTCATGGTACGATGACGGGATCTCTGAGCCTGGCCTCCTCCATCTGCACCTGCGGACTGCCCCGCCCGACCCGCCTGGGAGTGCTTCAGTCCTGCACCGGACCTGTCCACGTTCAGCGGCCACTGGTCCACGTTCTGTAGCTAGCTTAGGTCCTAGATCATTAGTCTGTCCGTCCGGAGGAGCGGATCCCTTTCTCATATGGGTCTCCCTCCCTGTGGGTTTCCCTAGTGCTCCCCAAGGTTTCTCACTTTTTCCCCACTGGGTTTTTTAAGAGTTTTTCCTTGTCGATGCAGGAGGGTCTTGTTGGACAGTTAGTGTCCAACAGAAAGGATTGGTGATGATCAGGACACTTTAGCATTCTACAACATGTATGGACATTTTCTTCTGTGTGTGCTTTATATTCTTCATTTGTTTTAACTGTTGATTCTCTGACCTGTGTTGGTGATTTCAATGGTTTTGTTAAGTCCTCTGAGATGACTTCTGTTGTGACCTAGGGCTATACAAGAATAAATTGTATTGTATTGTATTGTATTGTACAAAGTAGTTTACCAATTACGCCACTCTGCTTCCCAGAAATGTACATGATTCAGCTTGTTCTCTACACACTGCAGCTTTATCAGTTTAAAACAAACAAAGTTCAACAAGAAAAAGACAAAAATGAGAGGAAAACACACAAAAAAAACAGTTTGAATGTGCTTTGCTGTGGAAAATTTTATGTATTTTTGTTGACCCTCTTGCCTTTCTGAAGTCTCCCTCTTTCCTGTTTGCCTCGCCCTAATGAATCTCCCCTGCGTATCCCTGTGTTTTATGTCATGTGCTTATCCCTACTTCTTGTCCATCCATTGTCTTTCCCCGACTCTTGTTCCTGGTTTTAGTTTGGATTTTTGTGTTGACTTTAATCCTGGATTTGGTTTTGTTTCATTAAATTACATTGTATTTGCAGCCCTGCATTATGGTTCCTTTCATTTTTCACCTCATGACATTCAGGCTGTTCTCATACTTGTTTTATAATAACATTACAAGCTCAAGGTGTTATCATAAACTCAATCCAAGATGTGCTACTTCACACACTTCCACAATTGCTGCAGCCAAAAATAAAAACGACCTTCCTGAGAACCCTTGAAATGCTTTAACGACTCCACAATTGTCAAAAGGATATTCAGAGACGTATTAAACTTACCTAAAAGTTAATAATGACATTTTGGGATTTTCATTTTCAGTGACAATTTCCCCTTGTCTAAGAAAATAGATTTTGATTCCTCTTTCTCTTTTCTCCCTTGTTCCAGTCAATCCACAACATGTTCTTATCAAATGTTTCTTTTTCTCTCCACAATGCTCCAAACTGAGACTATGTAGGACACGGTCTTTCCAACCTCCAAATATAGACTCATTTAATAAAACAACCGAGGACCGCTTTTAAGTTGGAGATGCTGGAGGTTCTAAATATAGCCTCCACACATGATGAATATTTCAATGCATTTAACATAGATTACATGTGCGCACACAAAGGAGGAGCTTATTACGACCTCCCCATTACAATGTAAATCTATGTTAAGCCAACCTTATGGAGACATATCTTTTGCCTCAGTGCCCTCCGGTCTCCTTCACATGGTTCATTAGAAGTGCGAAAGTAGCCGTGTGACTAAAAAGCTCTTTACAATCAGTGAGGGTTAGGGTCGAGGTGGATTTGTACAACTGTGAGCTAGAAATACCAGCAGAGGAATGTGTTACAGTAACTGTGCATGTTAAGTGTCTCGCAGGTTTAATATAGCATAAGAAGCAATGGAATGGAAGGGAATAAAAGCCGCAAGCTGCAATAAAAGCCCTTTCATAATTAGAGTAATATACATGTTGTCATGTTCGGCCCAGTATGAAACTTGTTCTGTGTGTTATCAAGCAAGAATGGATTTAGTGCAGGAGGACGTATGGACAGTGATGATACAGTGGTCATCCCGCCCCCTTTGGACCAATGTCTTCTACTGTATGTGTTTGATTCTGATCTGTTGTTGCAAATTAACAACTTTGTAAAGTCCCTGAGGCTAGTGCTGTTTTGATTTAAGGTGTATAAGAAAACCTGCTTCTGTTGAACGAGCCCAGGTCTAGAATGAGGTAGGAATAGTGACCTCTGTTCATTGGAGGTTTCTAAATCTAGCCTAAAGACAAATTTATACACCTTGGCTCTTAACTCCAATTGAGTTTTATCGTTTTGCTTTTTACATGAATGCATTTGTATTTTATTTTTCATTGTTATTTTTTTTTATCTTTTGTGCCTGGGAAGCACTTTGGGCAGCTGGTGTTGTAAATGTGCTGTACAAATGAAGCTGACATTGACCATACAGAAACAAATTGAATTGAATTTTGCAAACTTAAATCTAGAATTATATGTTCACATCTTATTAACATCTTCAGTATAACCAGGATTCAGGTGAAACTCTGAAAAACAAAAATCATTCAAATATAGTTATATTTCTGCAGTTCATCTTAAAATATATAACCATTTAATAATATAGACGTATAGGCTTTCACAGTGTAAGTGGAATTACAGAGATGGATTGTTATTCAGTTATTTGCCTGTGCATACAACTGAAGGATTTGTTTTTTATCCCTTGTGATTTTACCTTTTTGATTTCTTGTGTGATTTTAATGTTCTAATGTTTTTTAATTACCTGCGTGATTATCAATTGTGTTTTAAATGGTTTGTATTTGAAGTGATGATTTGTGCCTTGTGTGATGTGGACTGTATGAAATGCGCTCTACAAATAAACGATTGGTTGAATTGGCCTTTAAACGGAATCCTAATTTTCCCAATTACACCTGGATTCTAAAAAAAATACATGCTTTAAACTGGAATTATCAGCTCTTCAGTATTGTCAGTGTGAGCCAGACAGCGTTCACATGTTACACTAATCAAACTTCTGTGGGATTGCTCTTGTCTGCAGTGAGAGAACTCGTTTATCGGTAAAAGAAAGTCCGTTGGATCAGCTAATCCGGAGACAAATTCCTTGATTGTCGTTTTAATATGTTTTGGAGGGATTACACTGATTGCTTCTTCACGGGCCCCAAAGCAACATCCTCAGAGAGTAGACATAATCCTCTGATGTGATGTTATTTGCAGCACACACACACACACAGGTATTAAAAAGGTATCTATAAAAATCTCAACATAAAAGCAAAAGTATATGTTTAAATATAGAGAACATGCAAATGAATTCATGTTTTTATTTACAAAGACATAAAATCACTGCCTTAAACTGGTAGTAACAAGTCGTATTGCAAAATAGAACATCAAAGCCTTCTAAAAATGTCATATCTGTAGAATATGTTATTTTAGAGAGCACAGGCAGTATTTACTTTGAAATGCCAAAACTCTAAAGCATTTTGGTGAATATTGTACTACTCTTGGTCCTTTAGAAACTATATATGTATACTATAAGCAAGGGGCAAAGAAGAAAATCATACTTTCTTATATTGATGGTTTTAATTTCCCTTGTGCAAACCGTGTCTTTTCAAACTTCTGTCCGCAAAAAAAGAATAAAGAACTGATAATATGATCGCAATTATAACAACGTGATAGATAGACGATACATGAAGACCACGCACACACCTGGGAATAGGATGATTGTAGACAGTAGATAGATACATCCTCATTTGAACACAAGAGCAAAGGGACCTCAACATTTGAATAATAAATACATTTGCCAGATTTGGGCCAATTTCCAGATGTAATTCTAGTCGGGTCTTAAACGCACAGAGGGCCATTTGAAGTCATCGCAGTAGAATTGGTCTTTGCTGGTTGAATGTAAAAATACCCAAAAGGCAATAGTGTTTTGTTATCATTGCTGTGATAAACCCGACACATGGCAACTTAATGTCAGTATCTGTCGGTGGGAGGATTATTGTCTACCTCTGTAAGCCTGGGAGATCAGGCCAGACTCTGCTGCCATTTATTCCAGTGGATTTTCTCACAGTAAATCAATGCAACAAATATGGCATTTGAAAAAGGCCTCTGACAATGAAGAAGTGAAAATAGCAAACAGGATCAATAAAGAAAATAATTTATTTAAAAGCTTGTAGATGACGATACATTATTTCAGTCAGGCCTCCAGCATAACAAAGGCATTATTAAATTCTGATTTACCCTAAAGAAAGTGCAAAGATATTAGACAATGGGGACAAGAAAGTTTACCCTAACCTTTCTTTACCATAGACATGAAATGGGAAACAAAAACAAGATGAATGGTATTATCGAGGCACTCCACTCTAGCTGATGCTCTAACATGGGATAAAGCCCTCGGTGCCTGGATTTCTTATTCTTCAGAACCAACAAATCACTCACTTTCTGCATTTCACACATTTGGTTATTTTACCCACAGTCATGATGTTTGTACAGTCCAGCTCTGTGGTGCTTCTGTGGTGCTTCTGTGGTGCTTCTGTGGTGCTTCTGTGGTGCTTCTGTCCAGTCAGATCTCAGTCTTTGTTTTGCCGACTGCGCTGCTGCTCCTGGAAGTCCCTGGAGTCCTCCCAGGGACGAGGGCCGCGGATGTTCTTCCACTCGTCCAGATTCACCTGCTGAATCTTCTACAAACCACAGCACACAGACACAGGACTAGAGTCAACCATTCAGCCGTTTCAGTCAGGCACAAGTTACTGCCAGTTTCTCTGCTACAGGGAGAGCTTCCAACAGAAATGTAATATTAAAAAGATATTCTGTGCAAGAACAAAAGAGCAGTCAGCACTGCAGAGATCAAAACAATATTATCTTCAGACAGAGCCCAAACACCTGTTCTAACTCATGTACGGTACTCTTTTCTTCAAGTTATAGTAGGATTATCAACCATCAGCTGGACATTTTATGTATTGAAGCTTTGTTTTGTCAAATAAAATGTTGGCTTTACAGAGGACTTGTAGTAGAGTAGTAGTCGTACAAGAGTGTGGGTGTAGGAATAGTGATGGAACTGTGTAGGCACATGCATTAAAGCTGCACTAACTGACTTTATTATCGTATTCATTACGAAAATGCTATCCATGTCCATGTAGTGCATTGGGATATACGTCCTTTTGAGGAAAAAGTAGTGCGGATTTGTGCTGGCCTGTCATTATATTTTAGATCGAGTTTTGATGAAACAAGGAAGAGGAATGTGTTTCGGGTCTCTGATTGTGACCAATCACAGCGCACCACTGGCCCCCACTTTTGTGAGAAATCTACAGGTCCGTTAGCACAGACGGCTGAGTTAGCACAACAAGCAGCGGAGCTAACCTGAAACTTCCTCGTCTCCGTCACCGGTTACTGCTTACACAGCGAAACAGCCATCCAAAAGAAAGTCCCGTTCCTCCGCGCTTCCAGGTTCTATTGTTCTATGGTCACGCCATCCACGTGAAAATCCATATCCATGTATTATCCATATTGGGAGACGCTAGCTCCGTCTCAACAGTGAGTGTGTGTGGGGGGCGATAGCTTCGTGGGTGAGGGGAGGGGAGCAGAAAGAGCGAGGCCAGCGGGTCCGCGGCTTCAAAATCCCAAAGTCAGTTAGTGCAGCTTTAATGTCAGGAGGTATAATAGAAGTCTTGAATCTAAATGCAGAGAGTTCTCCAAACGGTTTATTCAAGTCAAATGTGAACAGATGTTTAGGAAACATGTGGGATGTAAGACCAGCTATGTTTGTGTTTTTTCCTCAAGAGTTATGCTAAATTAACTCTCATTGTGCAGTCTACTGCAGCTGGTATAAAGATACAGATAATATCTCCAAAAATGCAAGCTAAATGTTTTTTGTGACCTAAATAAGACTTTTACCATTGCTTTGAGATTGTTTAACGGACAGATGGTTGTAAAAATAGCTGCTATGGCAGTGACCCTTCTACATTTTTCCAACGATTTTTTAGATCATTATAATCCTAAAATGAATTGACATTGATAATGTATTATTTAGGAACTACAAATGCAATATTTTATAACCAACCATCAACTGTATGTAACTTAAAAAACATGTTCCAACTCATTCAACATAAACATTACAATATTTACAGTATTCAAAGTATTTATTATTGACATGATATACTCATAAATGCACTAATGTGAAAATATCACAAATGTGTCATGACACATGTACCAAGTATTTGAGATTCACTGCATTTCATCGTTGTGCAATTCTCCACCAACGTGATTAAAAAATACCCTAAATAAAATATTTTTGAGCTGAATTAACTCACTTGACCAGCCCTTGGTCATTTAGACCATTTTAGACCCCAATTACAAAAAAGTAAGTAATAAGTACTGAGTGAAAGCAGCAGTTACACCTGAAGCCTCCTCACCTCATACTCGTCCTCCAGGACGTTAGACTGTCTCTGGACGTTCACCTGAGCCTCCAGTTCAGGGTCCAACTGCGACAAAACAAAGGCAATAATACAAATAAGTTTATACCCACAGAAAATAAGGCAGCAAACACAAGCGAAGCATGTTTAAAATGCTCTATGATAGCTTCAAGTCTTTATACTACTAACCTTTGAAGTTTATAATAAAATATCAGATGAATAAGTAATGCCATTCCGTAGTTCAGCCACAGAACTAATAATTGTTCGAAAAAACAAAACAAAATCATGATTCTCTTTTCTCTTTGATATGAAAAAGAGATGTTTGTTTAGAGCTGGGGTCATGTCCATGTTATTTTAGTCCTGGTTCAGACATGATTAGGTTCTAGTTCAGACTTGATCTAGTCCTGGTTCAGACTTGATTTAATTGTGGTTCAAACTTGATTTGTCTTAGACATTGTAATGGTCTATAATTCTGAAAAGAAGTTTGCCTTTTAGCAATTCAAATACATTTCACCCGAGAATACGTCTGGAATTAATTCTATTCTGAATCATTACTTTTAATGAGTTCTAATAGTTTATGGCAATATTGCAGCAGTTACTCGGGTGACTAATGACTTTCATAATGCCCTGATTGATTTTTAATTAGGCCTACACCAAGATGGATATCAATTATTTATAGAAAATATTGCTGCCTTCACCATAAAGGAATTAATAGTCTGTGTAATTAGCATCTCACCTAGTATAGAAATACCATTTCTGCGGCTAATGAAGAAAACATCAGAAGGAAACTGACAACAGAACTCACTACCCGCTCAGCCATTGTGCCAGAGCCTTACAGCAAGAAAGCTGACGGTTCGATCGCCTGTGTCTGGGTGAATTTCTTCCAGAGAGGCACCCTCTGTGTAACAGTAAGTTATAAGTTTCCCACTGTAGTTTATAGAATGAATAGAGAATTCAGTGTAGCACGTCGAGAACTTGTAAAGCACTTAAGAAGTGCAAGGCATTATTATGATTAGCATTAATATTTTTTGCAAGGATAAAGTAAAAAAAAGTAAAACAAAAGTGTACCCAATTGTGTATTTATTTTTTTATTATGGAAATATGGATTGCCGCTTAAAATCGATAATCTTTGTCTAGGAGGAATTGTTTACAAGCCTACTGTAAGTATAATATAGAATAGAATTAGTATAGAATTCCATTATGCCGTTACCCTAGAGATGACGGCTTAATGGCATTCTATACTAATTCCTTTCATCATAAACAAGGGTTTGACCAAGGAACGTCCAGAAGAGATGGAAGATGTTGCAACTATCATATGACCACTAGATGGAGCTTTTGCATACTTTATTCGAAGAGAATTGAAAGTGTACTTTGAAAAACAGCTGTTTTGCCCTGTAAACAGATTTAATTGGTTTTGCAAAGTCCGTAAATACTGACTTACCCTTTTTCTGTGCCTCTGGGCATCATAGCGGATCTGCGTGAACTCCTTCAAGCCAAAGGAGCCTCCCACCACCAGCAACTGCAACATGTTTGAAAACAATACACCATAGTTTTGCTTTACTCTCTGTGCAGATTATAGAAAAATCCACAAACAGGGATGGTTGCTGAATTGAGTACAATAAAAAATAACAAATCTTGAAAAGGACGTATAGCATTGGTTCACCACATGCTTTCTTGTAAAACCGAAATATATTATAATTAAATCATGGGATCTGTGCTTATAGGTAGTGATGCCGTCACATTTCGGCAAGAAAAGCTAGTTTAAGGTTACAGTTGCGTCACCCGCAGACTGTACACATGAGCGCTACACTTCTGTCTTCCGCAGATCTTATTTACTTTGAGAGTCTAGTGGCGCAGTATTCACTCACCAACATCGGGACTCCATATTTGACAGTTTTGTTCTTCTGTAAAGCCTTTAAATTAAACATTATTCACAAGCCTCCACCAGGCAGGCATGTCGGCAGGTCATAGATGGTCCGTTTACAAAACACGTCCGGAAGGAACTCGGTAGTTTATAGTTCCGACCAGAGATAAATAAAGCTTCTGTAAAAACAGAACGTTAATAATGATAAAACTAAGTAAACTGCATCATTTTATTCATATCTCTATTATTAGACTGACAAGATTCAATTACTCTATAGAATTATATTAAAACCAATGTAATATGCCTCATTAAAAGTCTCAGGGTCGGTTTAAACTTTCGGGGGGGGGGGGGTCAGATAAATGAATTTGAAGTGTGTTGAATCTTGCTTGGCAATTGAAAAACTATGAGGCGTTTTATTTTGTACAAACCTATATATTGACACCTTGGCTGGCTCTGTACTGGAGCAGCCTCTAGACTCTGTACTGCAGCACCACTGTACTCCCTGCTCCCCAACTCCACTTCGTTCCCGTGATCCATTTTTTTTTTTTTTTAAACCTAGAAATGTAAATAAATTCACTTTAACTATAAACATGTATGTGTGGAGCATTCATAAGCCTAAAACATTCAAATTAAATGTGATTTGATCACATTTGTCCAAAATGTGCATAGCTCAAATTTTAATAGTCTTTGAGGTGTGAGAATGTGAGGTGTTATTGGATAATGAAAGTAGTTTTGAGTCAAGATGCAATATTCTTTGGTTGTCAGTTTTTCTTTTAGAACAGTGTTAATGACACACACCCAGACAAATGTCAAATATCCCATTTAAAATGGGATTTCTGAGGATGATTCTTAAAAAAAAATCACACGTATTTTAATTGAATAACTACAAAAAAAGTATTACATAAACCTCCAACAGAAAGAGCACATACAATGTATATCAATTTCTCTTTATTACAATTGTCTCATATTTTCAATCAGGTGAAGAAAAATACCTTTTTTCGTTCCGTATAATAAAATATGTTAACTTTATTCATTTTTCATGAAGAAAAACAATGACGACAAGAAAATACAAACAAAAGACAAACATTTCTCTCTCCCTTTTTGTAAACTTGGAGAGCTTCTGCTGCATTGCATGACAACGGAGACCGACGTGAGGGAGCAGTGAGCGTATGGATAGGACAGAGGGACAAAAAGATAAGGCAAAAGACGTACAAAAGAGAGCAGGAGGACAGGACGGGCAGGTGTGTGAGGGTGGCTGGATGTCCCAAATTAAGATATAGACACAGTTCAAAGATCACTCTCCCCGTATAGAGCCGTAGAGAAGGACATGTAATCCAGGGCCCCAGGGACCCCGTCAGGGCCGGTGTACGGGGCCATGCGGGCCATGCAGTACTCTGCCTGGTCAGGAGGAAGCTCACGGCGAAGCTCATCTTCCAGAATGTAGTTCTGAAAAATATATAGGTTTGATGTTTTGAAAAAGGAATATTAATCCAAATGCAGTTCCACAGAGTGACTCAAGTCTCAAGGAACATTCAACAATCCAAACCAGGTCTTTAAGTCCAGGTCCAGTACCAAAGATTAGTCCAACTGATCACACATAGGTACATTCTGAGCACACCTATTCACGATGACAATGGACACTCACTTAGCCTTTATTTTATTTTTATTTTTTTTATAAATCATTGTTTATTTCAACAATAAAGCCTAGTTTAGAATTCCAGTTTTAAGCTTCCATATTACCATGGTAACCAGATCACTTCTTCAATACCCAGCAAACATCAATGCGTAAACGTATTAAACTTATGAATATTTCAGCAAGAGATTTGTTTGGAATTATTTTTTTGAGAACAGGACTTGGAAACTGATGAAAAAGCAAGTAATCTCTGTTTGTCCATTACATTTACACATTGGTAACAGTGTGCCATCTGCTGGTTATAAGGGATAGCTTTATTACAAAGAAAGAATTCTTTAGTCATCTGCAGTACCTTGAGGTTTCTTTGAAAGGAAGGTTCAATATGAATAATAAGTATTATTATCATTATAATTATTACTAATGATAATTACAAGGACTTAAAAATGAGAATATTTTACTTATTTATTTTCTTAATATAAATGTAACAGTATGTATTTTATTGCAAACAATATTGTTTCATAGGTTGAGCATGTTATCTCAAATAAAGAAGATATGTTGTTATTGTAACTCATGTGGTTGGATAGGTTTGTTAATGGTTACCTTGTCTCCAGCCAGGATCTTGAAGGAGGCTATGACCTGGTCGGCTGTGTCTGTGTCGGCCGTCTCTCGGGACATGAAGTCGATGAAGGCCTGAAACGTGACGAGGCCCATGCGGTTCGGGTCCACGATGCTCATGATCCGCGCAAACTCATTCTCTCCCTGAACGCAGACACAAACAGCTGTGAGACGTTTGGGCGTAGTGACCACCTCTACAGAACTTTAAGTGCTACCCCACAAAGTATCCATGAACTTATATCCTTATATCCTAACCTTTTTGTCTGTAGCAAAAAGAGATACAAATAAAAGAATCTTACTGCATCATCTATTTCACAATGTGCAATGTCCTATCGCTAAAAGCTCTATCTTCATTTTAATTGCTTTGTGGGGTAGTCAAGTCAAACTTCCACTGTAATTTAACAGAGCAAAAGTGACAAACATGCGAATACATACAACCAGAAAACAGCAATGCAGTGTTTCCGTCAAAGGTGATTCTCTATGTACACAAAATTATCATGCAAAGTATTTTCTTTCATTACCAGTTTCAGAGAGTTGTTTTAACCGTACACAAACACAGACAGTGTCATAGGAGCTTTACCAGGTTGTAACCCATGGAGATAAGGCAGGTTTTGAAGTCTTCAGGATCCATGATTCCTGTTCTCTTCTATAGGAGAGATGAAGGCAACAAAACAAGGCGGAAAATAGAGGAAAGATTCAGATAAAAGACCAGAAAATAGTCAGGTTTTAGGAGGATAAATAGGATTAAGGCCAGGGTTGAAGTTTAACAGAAGTATACGTGTGGAGTAAAAGAAATGGAGGAGCACAAGTAGAAGGGAAAAGTACACAAAACACAAAAGTACACGTTAACACTTTCGCTGCCGAGTGCGTCCTCTGTAAGTACCTGTGCATCGTTGGCGATATCGAAGCCCAGACTGATCAGGCAGGCCTTGAACTCCTCAGCGCCCAGAGTGCCCGAGTGGTCCTGGGGGGGCACATCCAGGGGGGGCCATGCAGCGACACATACAGCAGTCAGTGACGTGGTGAGACAAACAAGTGGCAGGAGTGGGACGGTCGTGACGGTGATGGGATAAGGGGGCACCATGCGAGGAGGTGGGGGGAGGGGTGTATGGATGAGGGGGGTTTAGGGTAGGACATGCAGGAGAGACAGAGAGAGACAGTGCATTTCGATTAGGATTATTGGCTGGTGGTTTTGGGGGGGGCATTCAGGCGTTAAAGGTGCGGAGTGCAGGCAACTACTGGGGCCGTGTATGAGGTTATTATCCATATCGTCAATGGCACAAGTACTTTACAACACAACAAGCTTAAAAAATGTCAAATACAGACGTTACGGCTCTCCTAATTAACAATCTTAAAACCTCTTCATGCATTATGTTTTCATAGCAGTATGTTAAAATGTATGTTCTCAATATCCATATCAATGTAATGCTGTTAATTTGATAACTAATATATTGATTCATGAAACGGTAGAATAAAGTAGACCACTTCCATCTCTGACTGCTAATGCTGTGCCCGAAGTTTACAACCACTACTCACACCATTGTTAACACACTCATCACACCACTCTTAAAGCTTGGGTACCTAAGTTTTGGCCCTCATCAATAGCCCATGTTGCTTCTAAAAGTAAAAAAGTTGTTAACAAACAAATCAGACTAGACTACAACCTGCTGTCTTCTTTAACATACAGAACAGCCCTATGAGTTAACATTTGGATGGTCCTCTCTTTTTCACTTTTCTGTCTGAAAAGTTGAACGCCCATAATACATAAAAACTGGTGATAAACCCAAACCCAAAACGGTTTGAAAGTTTGGTCACCCCAGCTTTACCTACAGCTCTGCTAATAGTAATGCCATTAAACCAATTGTAGAATTTTGAGTCGATATTGTGTATGAATGCAGTTATTGCTCTCCATATTTTGGGGGGGGGACGACAACCAATACATTGCTGAATGAAATTATGGTAGGTTCCCTGTCCTATTGACTTATCCTGTCCCCCATGTTGGCAACAGCCCTACATTTCTAAAGACTGACACCGATGGATAGACTGACAGACTTTCTAATGGACCCTCCACTGTTTAGAAATGCCACACAAGAAGCTTCCTTAATGCCACAAGCTTAATCTTCATCAAATATGAAACAAGGGTGTGTCTGTGTCTTCTGCCCCCTCCTGTGAGCCAGGGGTATTGATTAACGATAGGTCAGACTCAACGCAGGGAGGCAGAGGTGAAGTGTGTTTCTCCAGAGGGGGTCTATAAAAAAAATCCCATCCATACTTGGTGCTGACGGACTAAGGGTCCAAACATCGCATCCATGGAAACACATTACACACCGTGATAACATCTGCAGCTATAAACCTCGCCACGCTAACCCACTATCCTCTTTAGGTTTGCTCTGGCTACTGTTCGATTTTACAGTAAGGATATAACAGATAGCACATTTTACATCCTCTGTGGGAGAACGCGGAACAATTTAATCTGAGTTTGTAGTTTCATTTGAAATGTTTCTATTCCCTCCACAGTCCATGGCATATGCATATTTAATTTCAGCCTAGTTATTGTTATGTTGAGACTTTAATATCCATACCCAGTGCCATTATCCCTTCATTGTCTTGTTAGTAGTCCTATCTGAAATGTGATGTATAGATCAAATGCATTCTGAAATTCTAATATGATAGTGGTGTTTGGAGTGTTGATATTTTTCAAGCAGATTATATCCAATCAGTAAAAAAAAAGTCCATAATTTCAACATGAGAGATGTGGAAAATAAAAAATAAAAAAAAAGAATCCATGGTTATCAGATCAGAGTTTAGGCTTTGGATGATTTGAAATTCATATGAAAATAATGAGTTGTTGAATCAGAATCAAAGACAGAAAACTGATCCCTTGCCTGGTGACAGCTCAGACTAATAATGTTTATGCTTATGTTTACTGGTTCCTTTAAAACATGTGGTTCTTTTCTGAGGAGCGTGTGCATCTAGATGGGCATATAAAGTCATAAAAGCAGGTGTAAGATTCTTTTGCTGACCCTGTCGAAGTGGTTGAAGGAGGCTCTGAACTCGTTGAGCTGCTCTTGGCTGATTCCTTTGGCGTCTCGCGTCAGGATCTGGTTCTCGATCTCGTTGATGGTTCGTGCGATGGTGGTGAGGAGCTGCTCCCAGCCCACGCGGATGTGCTGCAGACGGAAGGCAGAGAAGAGGTTATGACAAGACTTCGCAAAACTTCACAACCCGCCTGGAAGATACGACTATACGCAGGATACGAAATGCATAGAACATACTTTAAGAGAGTCAATAATTCTAAATGTATTCATGATCATGCTAATATGGAATGAGAGAAAGTAGTGGAGCAACAGCAATGTTTTAAAGGGTGGGTTCAAGGAGAGCACTGTAGAAAGTAGAAATGGAGGAAAATGATACAAAAAAAGAATCGTTCAAGAACCAGTTGTCAAATGTGTTATGCATGAAAGAAGACATATTATATAGACACACAAGGAATTATGCTAAAACCCAAAGACAGCCTCATAGTAATTTTTGAACCGCAAGCAATACAAATTCTAGTCCTGTGCATACATCTGTTGACGTTACATTTTCTTACCTCCATGGTGTACTTTGTATGTTTGTTGTCAAAGATGAGGGCTTCCTGGATGAGCTGGTGGTCGACCTCTAACTGATCGATCTTTGGTTTGTAGTTCACGATGCTCTTCTCATACTGCCGTAGGTTCGTGAGCTGGTCCTCTAGGGTGCCGTGCATTTCAATAGAGATACGGCCAATCTCCTACAAAGAGAAATTGGGATTAGAGCTGGAAAAAGTATTTCTGTTGTGATTTGTGGGACTATTCCGCCTTAAGCTAGAAAAGATTTTCAAATCGGGCAAAGTGACATTCTCTTGAAACTCACCCCCATTTTGGTCTGTATCCAGGGCCCGATGACGTTCGCCTGGTTGGCGAACTGTACGCGCAGCCGTTCGTTGTTCTGTTGCCGGGTGTGTTCCTCGATCAGGGCCTGGTCTCTCTGTGGCACCAGCTGTTTGACCTGTCAGGAAGAGGGCCCCGCACGATCAGCTCGAGAACAGAACGCTGCTATTCAAAAGTCATTATCAAAGTAGTGCAAGTTTTAATGAGGCTGCTGTGACCTCAGAAGCCAAACTCCAAACTTTCTGGATAATGGACAAGTAGTGAAATATAAGTTAAGAATCGCTGTCATAGCTTCATGAAATGTTATTATTTCAGCTAGAAACTCTTCCATTACCAGAACTATTTTCATAGAAATGACTTGCAAAGAACTATCAACCTGAAAATGATTAGGGTCATTCAATACAAGACATAAAGAAAATTCCATCTCAAAGAGGCATTTTGTAACTTTTCTATTGGGAGGGTCTGGCACCTGATAATTCCATATTGAGGCCATTGCTTTTCCTGCAATGATCCACATTATGGCATCAATGTATCACCATTTTGTGGACTATTGAATCAGTAATTTGTAATATAAAAGTCACATAACTATTTATGGTGTTACCTTGTCCCATTTGGCGTTGATCTCCTGAGGGTTGATAGTGGTGTATGGGTTGCTTCCAGCGATGTTGACGTGGTAAGTTTGGACGATCTTCGCAATCTCGTTTTGAATTCCCAAAATGGCCATTCGCTCTTTGTCTGCTTCGGGAAGTGTAGCCTTGAACTGCTCATGGGCTGTGCTTAATCCCTGCAGGATAAAATGATGTTTTAGGTTCTTTTGTGTGGGATAAATATAGACTTACAAGTACACTATCTGAGGATCTTTGAGAACTGTTGGTTTTTGACATCTACGCCATGTAAGGCAGGAAGGGCAGGGAAGCGGGAGCTGGTGGACTACTGGAATTTGACAAACATAACACTCAGGCTTCTAATTGCCACAGTCAGCTGATAATCCAATAACTTGTATTACACATATTTTCCTATGTAAAAAGTTTACATTTGTTAGTTTTAACAAACTTTGACTCCATTTTCAACATTTTCTATCATCTGTTCTTGATTTTAGAAGTCCTCTACCTGAAGTCTCAAAGCTTCACCTTTTGTCTGTTTCACACAAATCTAATAAAAGTTTTGTGCCTAAATGGTTGGATAAAACATTTACAATAACTCTTGGAGGTCATAGTCACATCTTCATTTAGTCCTTGCAAAGACTTTGTCCTGATTTTCTCCAGGTTTAGTCTGATTTTAGTTATCAATTATGACATGTATCAGTTTAAAGTAAGCCTTTATTACGAGGATCAAACAAGCAGCAGTATATCTGTTGTTTAAAGGATAAGTTAAATTATATTGATATTGTTCAGACTAACCACCTTACGTTTCCTGCCGACGTTGTAAGAGCTCGCTGGTTTGTCTCACCTTGATCTCCTCGATGGTGTGGACTATAAAGGTGTCCTGCAGGTCTTCCATGGCTCCCTCCATCCAGTTGTTAAAAGGAGCAGCTCTTTTGGCAAACTCCAGGTACAGTTGGTCAATGGTCTCCAGTAGTTTCTCTGTTCTCTGCGCACAATGTGGAACACGAGTCAAAAAAAAAACAGACTTCAAGGTGCAGGTGTAGAAAAGAGATAATCGAAAAGGTTATGCGCTCATGGTCCAGAAATCTATTTCAGTTGGAGGGCTGGCACCTCTCCGGGAAAGAAGTCATTTTTGAAAGAATTGTTGAAAAGAAAATTGTATGAATGTTTTCTCAGCTCATTCTTTGGTGATGATTAGATTCACAAAACCACCATATTATTCTCATGTCTGTCCTTTCTACAGGCCAAGATGCTTTTTTAAATATTTTCACCACTTCTAAACACATTCATGACAAAATACTTAAGCATTGTTGATATGTATTGAGAAGAAGAAGATGTGGAACTTTGTGACAGTAAGTAATCAGACAGGAGAGATTTTCAGCTGTTCTCCTCCACGATTGTACACTGTATAAGGCCCCTGTGCAGAGTGACAGTGGTTTGGCTGCAGTGCCTCTGTCCCACCTGTAGGGCCTCACTGCGCTTCTGAGTCATGCCGCCCAGACCGTCCCACTGGTCACAGATCTTCTGACAGCGCGCGTTCACACTCGGGGAGTCGTAATAATCCAACTCACTGCAGAGGACACACAACAGGCAAAATTATTACCAGAAAAGCAAACTCCATTACAGGTAAAGGACCGCTCCAATTCACATCTTGTTTAGGTAATTAACATATCTTAGATGTTGTAAAAGCAGCTTTTAATGACAATAATAATCCACTAACTACACTTTAAATGTGATCATCTATCTTCAAAACTCCTTGTGATTAATAATTACAATATGAGGAAGGTGTTAGGTGCAAATGGTTTACAATGAACTAAATAGGTTCTTGAAAATTTGACATGTATCTGAATGTGTTTTATTATTCTACTGGATGTCTTTGTTTATTGGGATTGTTTTAATTATATTCGCATTAGCACCAGATACCATGGATGGATGACGCACCACATACAAAGAAACCATGGAAACAAATCCATTAAAAAGCTAATTGCAATTGACAAATGAACCGTCTGAATCCACATCAGCCAACATGGAGCCAACTAAACATGCAGGTCTTTTACACTGGACTGTAATGAGATCAAGGCTGAGATTTAAACAATAATTAGCAATAAACACTGTACAGCAACAATCTTATCTTTCAGAGGAAAATAGGAAAGATGTGTCTTTGTACCAAAAACACTAATTGAATAATATAGTTAAATAAAATAACTATCATACCAAGCTAAGCTCTTTCTCAAATTTGTTATTTTAATTTGTCCTCTTACTTGAGCTCTTGTGCGATGGCGGCGATCTGCTCCACTCGGTCCTGGTGGGCTGCCAGGTCACTCTCAAAGGCCTCGTGTTTCTTAAGCAGGGCTTTGATCTCCGACAGAGAAGCTGTTTCAAAGTCCTTCTGCTGCAACATTTCCTCTTTACCTGCACGACAATCACAGTCTGAGGGTCAGTAAATTGGAAACAACAACACATTATGATGGCTTGATGAAGATGTGAAAGATGGAAGTGAAATGTTAGTGTTGGATAATAATCGCAAAACTCATACTGACTATATTTGTTATTCACCAACCTTTTTTAAAGGTAGAATTGTAGTGACTGAGACACAAAAATAAATAAAAAAGCTCAATAATAGAACAAATTGGATTGTTTTGGACTTTTGTAATGATCAAAATACATTCCAATTACGATTAGGCTCAATTTTCCCATCTAGGGGGAAAATGGGGGGAAGATGGAGGACGCGATAGAAGACAGTCACCTCACTGCATGGACCATCGACTACCTTTCAGACCGATCACAGAACGTGCGGTGGCTGCAGTACTGGGGCCCCTCAGGGCACTGTCCTCTCACCGTTTCTCTTCACCATCTACACTTCAGACTTCACATACGACTCACACAGCTGTCACCTGCAGAAGTTCTCAGACGACTCCGCCATCGTGGGCTGTGTGTCTGAAGGGAACGAACTGGAATATGGGTCGGTTATCAAGGACTTTGTCGACTGGTGTGAGCGCAACCACTTGTGCTTGAACACCAGTAAAACCAAGGAAATGGTAATCGACTTCAGGAGAAAACAACTTACCAACACGCAGCTGAACATCCAGGGGGAGGACATTGAGCTGGTGGACAGCTTTAAGTACCTGGGTGTTCACATTAACACTAAACTGGACTGGTCCCATAACACTAACGCTCTGTTCAAGAAGGGCCAAAGTCGCCTCCTCTGAGGTCCTTCGGAGTGAGCAGGCCTCTGCTCAGAACTTTTGTATGCTTTTATGACTCTGTGGTAGCCTCTGTCATACACTACGCTGCCGTGTGCTGGGCCCCGGGCAGCACAGAGCGGGACAGGAGCAGACTCAACAAGCTGGTCAGGAGGGCCAGCTCCACTCTGGGCTGCTCTCTGGACTCAGTGGAGGAGGTGAGGGACAGGAGGGTGCAAGTCAAAGTCACCTCCATCATGAACAACACCTCCCACTGCACAGGACTATAGAGGAGCCGAGGAGCTCCTTCAGTGGAACACATAGACACCCTCAGTCTTCTTATTGTACATAACATATCCTGCATTTAACATGTTTGCACACTTCTTTCTTTGCACAAATCTTGAGTGATTTTATCCATGCCAAATGTGACATTTAAATTTCTCCTGTGTGAGATGAGTAAAGTCTATCTCATCTTATCTTATCTTAACTTGTACACGTATCACTGCAACCGAAGTACCACCAAGAACTGGTATAAAAACTGCTGGTGTTTATACTAGCAACAGTAGCCTTGCTTCAGGTTTTTAAGGGCTTTCGCTAGCTAGTTAGGAAGATTGGAACAAAGACACCATCTGTAGTGGCCATTATATATCAGGTTTCCTAATAAAACTATCCCTCCGTTGCCAAGATGAGACTAAACGAGACAGAGTATGGCCTTCAGATTCAGGTGACGGGTCCAGGAATTACATCACATGTGTGTATTTGAAGGACTTTCCCTTTCTTCTTGGCCACTTTTTGGAGCAATTGAAACGCTCATTATAAGTGGGATTTGTCGCAGTCCCAGATCCAGAACCTTGGTCAGCCAGTTTTACATGAATCCACACAGATCAGTGAATGAAATTGCAAACCTTTGAGAAACCAGTGACTCGTAATTTTAAATGTTATTAAAAATGATATAAATATTATATTTATATTATAGTATATTATAGAATTTGTGTGGTACAATTCTTTGTTGTCAGTGCAAATAATGTAAACCTGTATGAAAACTTGCTACTTGAACATCCATGTTCACAGAGTTCACAAGAGTACATGTGAAAGATTCTTGATATGGTGCTTTCCCATAATACCTTCAGTCCAGGCTTCGTGGATGGCTGCCTTTTGTCTGAATTTCTCTGCCAGGTGGTCCAGTCTCTCCAATCTACGGATTTCGTTGAGCAGCCACTCCTCATAGCCCTTCTCTGCCCCTTCCAGATTGCCCCAGGCGTTGTTGATATCCTGAACATAGTGAATAACCACACTTCAGACCAAAGTGAATGAATAAACATGTCTAAAACATACACCCTTGTGGCCCCATCACAAGGGACAAAGATGGGCTGTCTCCATGGCAACTGCATCAAAGTGAACAGGCGATGGTGCTTGAAGTAAATGCTTTTTTTATTCTGAGGATGAATGGGAACATTGCTAGTCATCATTGTCAAATTTGAATTTATGGGAAATAGGACATGAAGGGTGATTTCAAATGGACGACTTAACATGGCATGAAGTGGGAATTGTCTTGAGAAGTTACGGATTTTTATGCTTAGTATTAAATGTAATTACAGATTATATATATATTTTTTATTGGTCATTTAGTCGATTAATCAGTGGATAGCATCCTGGTCGACCAATTATAATTCTTCAAATAAAGAAAAGTGACCTGAATACTACAAAATAGTTCAACATTGGGTTAATTTTTCACATTTATTTAGGCCTATGTTGATTTCTCATGCCATAGTTTTTTATTTTTTTATTTTTTGCATTACGCAGGAATCTAGTAGGTGGGTCGGATATAAATGTTTTGGTTTTGAAGGCTTTTGTCCCATCCCCGTTTTAGTTCAGGTATCAGGTATTTCATTGGTCGATAACAGCCGTACAAACATAAGCAAAGAGAAACCCGTTTTGGTTTGGTTTCCTTGGTTTCTCTGGTTTCTGATTTAGGCCCTGATCCCACTCCACACTCTGCAGGCTGGAGCAGCTTTGTGCAGGGCTAAAACAAAAATGCCTGAATAAAAAGGACAACCACCATGTTTTTAATAAGTGAACATTGATATAAAATGGTGTGATTGATTCTGCACACTACGCTCCTTTAAATTCCACAAAACTTAGGCTTGCTGACTTACGGACACCATCTTGCCCTCGGAAGGCATGAAGGCAGGCCGGTTGCTGAGCCGAAGTTTGGTCTGTAGCGTGTTGAAGTTGATCTCCAGTTGGCACTTCTCCTGGACTTTGGGAGGTTTGTGGAGGCGTCTGTAGTCCCTGAAGTCCTCCAGTTTCTGCTGCATGGCCTGCATGGTGTTCTCAGGCAGGCGGTTCTCCAACCAGGGGATGGTGCGGCGAATCCACTCTAACAACTGCCATGTGTGTGTGTGTGTGTGTGTGTGTGTGTGTGTGTGTGTGCATGTGTGCGTGTGGGGAAAGGTGAATGGAATGAAACCGGGTAAAAGGGAGAGGAGAAATACAAGGTACACATGCAATTGATAAGGAATTGATGCAAAGGGGAAAAATTGGGGGGGGGGGGGGGGGGGAAGTGTGTGTGTTTGAAGTGTGGCAGAAAGAAAAACACACAATTAGTAACATTGTAATTAATCCTTACATTAATGTAAGGAATATTTCTTTAAATTAAGGAAATAACTATCTTAATTAATCCTCTAGTTGTCATGACAATTGGGCCTAAATATACTTAAAACTGACTATAATTAAAAACGGACTCATTTTTACTGATAAAGCAGTTGTAGCTGACTTCACAAAAAATGAAATTATGAATTAAAATCCATCTAAATAAATCCCGGCTTTCAAAACAGGTTTTTTCTATCACTAGTTTTCACAGTCATGTACTTTTGGCCCCTCTCAGCTTTTTCTGACAGAAAAGAAAGTGACCACTCTAGCTCAGCCAATCAGCTGTCAGCCAAAAGCGCCAATTAGTGACTCACAGGGCACTTTGTTGCATAGATACAAAAATAACATATTTTTTTATGGAGTGAAGACCCATAAGGGTTGTATTAGGTAAAATGTATTAGGTACCCCAGCTTTAATGTTTGGAGAATACTGAGGTCTAATATGATCTTACACTGTCTGTGATAAAACCAGTAAAGTTTCTGATTGAATTGATTCATGGAGATGAGCTTCCAATTCTTTCAATAAAAACATATGTTATTTCTTATACTGCTATCGTCTGCCTGGTCATAGAAAGCAGCTGCAGGCCACAGACCCTCCAGAGCACAGGGGAACAGGGGTAGTTTGACAGGGGCAGAGGAGGGGACACTGGGGCAGTAAAAGTGGGAGATATGGGGGGTCCGGGGTGGTGCTCACATCACTGGCCAGTTTCTCATAGTCCTCCATGAGCTGCTCGTTCTCCTGGTTCACCGCCAGCACTTTGCAGATCCTGTTGGCTGCTGTCTCCGCCTGCGGCACATCCACAAAAAATAACAAAAACCATGAAAAATAGCCAGGCTATTTTTAGACGTGAGCACTGACTCAAGCAGACTGAACATATTAAGGACCACTTAATATGTTTGCCTCACTTACTAAATGCAGACAATATGGCTTTAGTTTGCCGTCTGCCAATTACACTGGGTTCAAGTCCGATTGGGTTCTCAAACTTTAATTATAAAAAGTGCCATTATAGGTATTTGGGTTTTGAATGCATGTTTAAGATTTGAATCAGAATCAGAATCATTTTTATTGCCACGTAAGTAACAAACAAAAGTTACCACTTGGAAATTGCTTTGGCAGAGAGCGTGCCACCGTGTCACACCTGGTTTGGACTGTTTCCAAGTAAAGGCACTGCACATATATTTGTTAAGCAGTTATTCAAATTTTTTTTTTTTTTATTCAAACAATGTAATTTTTGTGTGTGTGAGATTTAAATTTGATATTGAGTATTTTTCAAAACTGTATATCTTCATACATAGAACATATTACACAACACACATGTTTTCTATTGATAATTCTCTAATGAACTATGAATAGAAGCGCATTTTCGTGACGCACACACACACACACACACACACACACACACCTGCTGGGGGAAATAAACAGGTTTAGTTATGAATAGAAAACAATCAAGGCATATTTCCCAAGGCTAGAATACAATTTGAGATGAAGAAGAGTGTTTATTTAGTTAAAAGTAAACAAGAAGCGATCAGCAAGGCAAAGGTTCAGAAAAGCTCAGAACAAAACAGCAATCGTTTTTATTGTCAGTTTGAATCAATAATTTTTAATATTCATGAAATTAATAAACAACTAGATCGTGTGCTGTTATAAACTGGAGCGTTTGCCTCATTATCAATTTATACGTTCAAAACAAAACCGTAAAATACAGTTGGTGACCAATTACACTTTACTACAGGGAAGAGTGTGGTCGCACTGTTATGCAATGTCTCTCAAAAGCCCATTTTTAGATTCTCAACTAAATGTAATTGCAATAAAACTTCTGCAGTGCTGACTTTGTAAAAGCAGCATGCAAACCAACTTAAATAATTAAATTGTAATTAAATTGTAAATGTAATTGCAATAAAACTTCTGCAGTGCTGACTTTGTAAAAGCAGCATGCAAACCAACTTAAATAATTAAATTAAGTACCTAAAGATAAAGATCTCCAAATACTTAAATCCGTAGATTAAAGTTGCTAATTTACAAACTATTAAAGTCTATTGTCTTCCAAACATGGCTTAACTCCTAAAGCTTCTAAATGAACCACTGAAATAAAGTGTATTTACTGTAATTCCATGTTCTCAGTATTAAGAATAAATGGAGGATTTAGGTTTTGTGAAGGATCCTGGAGGCGTGCTGCTGTTTATGAGATAAGTCTCTCCCGGGGTAAAGGAGGCGCCCACTGTTCTCGCACACCTCATGTTTATAAACACTGTCTTTGCCAAATCTATAAAACTAAATTTGCCTCTTTTCTGCACGGAGCTGAGTACTTCCTAAAACTGCAACTGTTTGGAACATTTAGGTGTGGGGAAATGGATATGTTTTAACAGGCTGTAATTGGTTCTCTTTAATGTTCAATAATTATATTCCAATGGTAATGATGCAAGTGGGCTTAATAACAGTTATCCCAAACACATACATTTTTTTATCGCATCACATAAAAATAAAAATAAATCTATATTAATCTTTAAGACACCCCCATTATCTAGTTACACATTTTCTGATAATATTATTTAAAACATTCCATGTCTGAGACCACAAACATCTTCTATCTTGTCATTTTTTGGGTTGACTCCATGTCATGCATTTATCTAAAGGGGTGATACATTTGATCCACAAGATCTATAGATTGAATAAAGTGCATCAGCTTTTTTTCCACTTCCAGGATTCATGAATTCTATTTGGATTAGGTTTGAGTACACATTTTAAAAACAACTTTTGACATGGCATGGGATGTAGTTGAAACTACAAGAAAGTCAGAGACTAGAACGGACAGCAGATAGAAGCAGACTAGTTTGTGATTCATTTGTGAGTGATGCGTATTTGGGATTTTGTTCATCTCACCTTCTGTTTGCCTGAGAAAGCGTGGTAGTAACACGACACATAGGTCATGACGGCCTTCTCATCGGGCCTCAACGTGCTAATGATATCTGCACAAGAGAAGAGCCAAAAAAGGACAGAAACAAGCAGAGGTAAAAGAGTGCAAGACACAACAGGACCAACAGGGGGCGCAGTCACAGGAGGCAGCACTGAGCACAAGGCATCCGCAGTCTCATCGCATTCACTTTATACACTTTGAAACCACAGATCTGATTGGTGACTGCACAACCAATACATGCTTGACACATGTTAATGTTTATCAATGTATAGCAAAATAACAATCATAATAAAATGGTTTTATATGGCGCTTTTTGGAACTTTAGAACTGCCGTCACTAAATATTTGTATTAACCGCAGCAATAATTTAAACACATTCTCGTCATACTCCATTACATTACGCAAAGAGGGCTCCAGCTTTTTAACTTGTAAACAGTCCCTTCTGGTCAACTTAAACACAGCTGCTTCTTGCAGTGAGGTCCAGTCTCAAAAATAACATATTGTTTATTAATAAATCAAAATAAATTAATCTTTTTGGAATGGTCCATTAGCAGTGCTTGGATTTATCTCTGAGAAAAACATTTGCAATGACCTTGGGCTGGAATTTTTCATTATCAATGACTATTATATATTAGATAGTATTCAAGTTCATTTAGGTTTCACTGGTGTTGTCAGTCGTTAGGTCCTGTAATCTTAACTCTATTTTCTTTATTTTTGGAATAATATCTTGGTTTCTGGATAACTTGATGGTTTATCCACTTTTAATAAGAAAAACATAGCATTGTTGGTAAAAAGCATCTTCTGGGCTGATTTATTCACACTAGAATCAGCCCCACTTGCAACATTTCATGTCAAAGTTAACGCTCTTCATCCAATTATCCAAGTCAATCAGGAGTAAAAACAAACACTCCCCCGCAGCAGCTCTTGTCTGCTCCAATCAGAAGTGCCATTGTTCATTCTGTCATACGTGTCGCCTTTGAATGGAAACTGTAAATAGCGGTGGCACGTATAAGCAACATATTAGCAGAGGTGGACACTCATCAAAGAGTCCCTTTGCTTTGTCTTGCACATGACAACCTATATTTATTGTTGTATAATATATTATAAGTAAACTACTAAAAGTAATAAGTAACTAATAGGGTTTCATAAGCAAAGACTAGGTAAATCATCACTGACAAATAATTTTAAGCAATGCTAGAACTATTTCAAATGTTATGAAAATACAATCAAATGTATTATTGAATGAATTATATTTTTTATTGAAATTGGAATCACACCTATTCCGTAATAAATAAATAAAAATCATACTTTTTTTTAAAAATCCTTAAACTGTTGTAAAATGTAAGTGCTTAATTAACAAGTTTTGTGGATGCAATTAATATTTTTTTGAGTTCATAAAAGAAAATACCAACAAAATCTATATATATATATTTTACTATATATACTGTATATATAAACTCTACATTTTAAAAGTGCTGAAATGTAATTGATGGTTTTGAACTAGTCACACACAGGTCTCTGCATAACACAACTTTTATAATAAATGCATAACTTTGCATGACAGTTGTGAATTCTGGCCAATTCTTCCTAACATGAATGGAGATGCTGATTGACGGATATTGCTCTTGTGCTCACTGCCTGTCCAAACTTCCCATCATGCATTTGGTGAACCATGCTGAAAGCACAGTGGCTCCTGGAGGAGAGAGAAGGCTCATTAGGAGGAAGAACAAGGGAAGGAAGTAAGGTAGGAAGTGAAGGAGGTAGGGAAGGAGGTAACGCTGCATCCTTGATACCTTCTGCGCCCCGGAGAAGGCATGGTAGAAACTAGACACGTAGGTCATGATGGCTTTCTCGTCCGGACGTGCTGTGCCTACAATGTCTGTGAATGGGACAGAGGGAGGGGTGTGGGTGGAGGGGATGTGAGTGGTTAAATAAAACTTACATCAATGAACAAACAGGAACAAACGCCGTGGGAATCGCTTTGCACAAAACAACTAAGCGCGGCGGGAAAACAAACAATATAATTAGATATGAGGGTTCAGGATGACCTAAAAGTGCTTTTCATTTTTCCAAAATGAGCCAAAACATTATGACATGCTCAATTGAAATCCATTAAAACATGGCTGCCACTGGATGTTTTCATTCATTACTCTAGTAGAATTGTTTAAAACTAACATAATGTGATAACGACTCTCACACTTTTCTTTTATATCTGAGTTATTCTTGTCGCGATGGTGCATGGTGGGAAAACACAAGTCATAGGTAATTACATAATGTTTTAATGCCAGTCTTCTGCATAGTGTAAAAAGTATTGTTACACTTTCAAATATACATATATCTATATGTATATTTGGGCAAAGTGAGTAGCTCTTTGAGTTATTTATATTGTGTTGTTGAACATTAGGTTGCAACACTTTTCTAGTGGATCTTTTACCAATTGCTTGTTTCCATGGAGATGGCTGTGCTTTGGGAATTTTGTATTATTGCAATCTCCATATAGCCATTATAGCAAACAAGTACTGTATATAGCTATGAAAACAGTTCTAGGTGAGTAAAAGCAGAGATGACAACTTATAATAAATAACCATAAAGAACAGGACAACTGTATTCATAAAAAGGTAATTTATGTACATGTGGTAGGAGTCTACACGTTTGTGTAGACTCCTACCACATTCCAATCCATTTGGAGCTGAAAAAATGTAAATAAACCTTCCACTAGAAATCAATCTAGGAGTGCTATTGACTTTTTAAATGACCTGACCCTTGATAAATACATCCCCTGTTATAAGTATTAATGATTTATTTATAATCATTGACATTCACTGCAGGCATTAATATCAGAACTGGTGAACTGACAGTTGCGTTGATGAAAGAAATTGTCAAGGGTTTTCAGTTCAAATATGTAGTGGGTATAGTTCAAATGCAGTTGGCCTGAGTAACTCTCAATTCAGATTTTTAACCACATCACGAATCTTACCGTGGGCACAGATAGTCCATTTCAGAGTGAGAGTAATGCCTGTGCTATGAATCTTAAAACAGGGGCAAAAACACACGCTGCATGACAAGTTTTTAATGGTCTGTCGGTCGAGAGTTTATGGAAATAATTTCAAGCTCACCTTCTGCGTCTAACATTTTGGGAATGTCCAGGTATTTTTCTGCAACATCGAAGGCTGTGTTCAAGTTCGTCATTGGATCGTCCTGCAGCAGAGGTAACAACAGTTATAAAATGTTCAAAAAATTGTACCAAAGCACATTTTTTAAATTGTATTTTTGGTCAATCTGGGACAGAAAATAACGTATCAATCATATCGCTCAGGTTGATAGGAGATTTTAAATAATAATAGTGCATTGCAAGTTCATTTTCTGCAGTAAGAGACAAAACTGGGCTTGCCATAAACACCACACTTCAGCTTTTGTGTTTGATGAATGTCTGATATTATCACAGCAGGAGGCAACAGATTGCACACTAAAACTCAGAGGAACAGACGGCATTGTTATTTTAATGACTAAACAAAACACTTAAAGAAAACTGAATTTATAACCCACTGGCGTCTGCATACTTTGAACAAGCACCCGATAAAAAATTCTGTATTCTGTGCCTTTTATTATATGGACTCACCTTGCGTAGTTTTCCGTAGTCGATGAGCTCAGGGCGATGCCGGTGAATGAGTGCGCAGAAGCCCAAACCGTCTTTCCAACTGAGGGAAAGAGATGAAGACATGCATTAATAAGATACAAAAAATAACTACTTTCAAAATATATATCAAAGTGTACTGCATTTGCATGTTCTCCCCGTGTCTGCGTAGGTTTCCTCCGGGTACTCCGGTTTCCCCTACTACTAAAAACATGCACAATAGTTCTGGCATGCGCCTCCTGTACTGGCGACCCTGCTCCTATCTCTGTGTGGAGCGAGCGACAAATGCCCAAAATTAACAATTGTAAACCGCTTTGAGACTCTGATCTGCAGTGAAAAGGCGGTATATAAATAAAGATTACTTACTTACTGCTAATTGAACCAGCTGAACACACTATATTTACTTCTCTGGTGTGGTTAACTGAACTGAACTGTTCAATAGAAATGGACACTGGTTCACTTAAAGCTGTGGTGCCAGGCCTTTTTGTCCCCACAGAAAGAGTCTTGTAAAAGTATAATATTGTGAACAAATAAAACCACAACATGCCACCAATTTTATTAGAAAACATGTTAATCTTCTGTTAGAAAAAGACAAATATACATGCATGTGATAGAACAAGGAAATATCTTTGTGGTTTCATTGGCATAACTACGACCAGTGAGATTTTCAGGAGGATTTGAACTCATTTTGACCAATCAAGAAGCACGCCCAGTCTTCAAAAGTAACTGACATTAACTTTCGGTTTCAATATGGTTTGTTTGGTGAGAGGAAAGCACCAAACAAACGCACACTTGCAAAACACTTAAACAGTGATGTCATGAGGACTTTTGTATTTGCTTCTGAAGTGAACAAATAAACCATTCGTGTTTATTTAGATCAGTACTTTATAGTCTTGGCCATGTTTTGTCTGCACATAACCCCAGAGCCGGTTGATTCTGTGGAGAGTTGGAGCTGGAAGAACAACCTCGTGTGGCAAATTATGGAGGGGAATTTTTCTGTTGCTGAAGTGATAGTCAAGGAAATACACTTCTCAAACCAACAACTCAGGTTTGAGTCATAAATGTCAAAGATGAAAGCTGCAGAGATCAGTGTCCTGAGAGGACCTCTCCTGCCCTTCAGCTTTCATCCACTCAATAATTTACAGCCTCCATGTGTGACTTTGACTCCAGCACTATTGAACTCACAGGGAAAACACTGATGGAATTGCTAAATAACTTCTTAAATTATTTTATCTTTTCCTAGTGTGATATCTCACTAGTAGGGCTGTAATTAACAATTATTTTGATAAACAGTTATTATTAATCAATTAGTTGTTTGGATCAGTGAGTTGGATCAGTCAAGGTTTTTTAAACATTCAAACAAAACAAAACTCAGGTGATGTCCCTGGAGAACATGTTCAGAGAGATGACAATAATCTGAGTCATAAAACCTTTCCTCAGCAAGTTTATGTTCTGTGTAAGGTTCAAATAACGATTAATCGATCACTAAATTAGTTGAGAACTAATTCAATTTGTTGCGATTATTCAGTTAACTTGCTACAACCCTACTCACTGAAATGTGGGTACATTTCAATAGGCAAAAATAATACACTCTTTTCTTGCGATCATATACTCTATGTTGCATACTGACAGACACAATTAGAAATTATATTGAATATTATTTCCTTGATATCACGACCAAAAGTCATAATGCACAGTTAAAAAGCAAGGTTTGTCTACCGCTATTAATGTAAAAGGAATGTTGCGTAGAAATAACTGAGTGTTAGACGCCCTTGCTGGCTTTTATTAGCTAGCTCTATTTTAGAAAACTAGCATGCTGTGGAGAAACTGAAAGTGTATGTCTGGACAGAGTAAACTCACAATGACATAAATGGTTCATATTAAAGATTTTTCCTGTGTGAAAGCTGCACCTGGTTTCGACATTTGGCACTCATTACAAGCCGAACAACGAGAGCTTTTCCACTGCAAAACCGTAAAACACCTCTAGCAACATAATGGTCATTCGCTTGAGCCGTCAGTGTTGCCTTAGAATGACGTATAAAGTCAAACCTGATGTGAAAGTTCTGGATGTTGACGTTTTTGTACGGAGCAGTCTTCCTCTGGCACCACAACAGAAGACCCTCTTTGGCTGACGTCTCTGAAAACATATGAATGAATGAAACTGTCAATAACACCACGCACTATTCAGAAAGGATATTATTTACAATTTTTTATCACGCAAAGAATGTAAAGCGCTTTGTGTGATTTTGGTCTGTGAAATTCACGACAAAAGATAAAGATAGACTTACTTACAATCTACACATGTTATAACCAAATACCATGATAATAGGCTGTTGCATTACAGAGGAAAAATGCAGCAGTTTTTAAAGATGGGGCGCCAAATTTCGTTTCAAAACGGTTTGGTTCTATCACAAGTATTCACATGCATGCAGTTTCTGTCTCTGTCAAATGTATAGATCCGCTTTTTCTGACAAAAGAGAGGACCGCCCTCACTCAGCCAATCAGCTCTCAGCCCAAAATGTCAAATATAGACTTGCAGGGCTCCTCCTTACGAGCATGCACAATAAACACAATTTATTATGTTTTAACCAAACAAAAGTTATGTCCCCCAGCTTCAAGTAAACAGTAATGCATATCATACAGAAGATGGAAAATTGTAGTTTTGATTATATTTTTGTAATAATTGAAATCCTATTTGGTTCTGTTTAAACATACTGTGGAGAAACTGGATATGCAAAGCAAACTAGCAAAGAATGTAGAAATTGTATGAACCAAATGACAAAACGCCAGGGTAAACAGTCTTTGAACATCTGAGGGATTAGCAGGTCTAGTGAGGCTCTTTGATCTACTCTCACTTAATTCAAGTTTGTGTCAGATTAAGAGCAAAATAAGAGAGGAGTGTGCTTCAGGTGTCTCTGCCAGATCAGACAGATACTAATAATTTTTAAATGAATCTCAATATGATGAATCTAAGCCTGGTTCATTCACATTAATGGCTCCTGACACTTTGACTGGATTACACTTTAAATCCATTAAATACATTAAGCAAAAGCATGAGCGTAACCGTACATTTCCATCTGTATAGGCGAACCAACATTCTTATTTAAATCGACGGAGATGACGGCGTACGGTTTCTCAATGCGCTCGGCTGCGAGGTTAAATGGGTCGCCACGCTCAAAGAGGGTTTTCAATTGCAAATGCAGCTTCTTGAATAAGGAATTGTGTACGAAGGAGACGGAGTACCTTCCACAGAGATGTCTTGGATGGCAAAGCGCAGGATGATGGTCCAAATCATTCCCAAGGTCATTTTAGCGTTACCGTCTACAATCTCTGCAAAAAGAAAACAAAATCATTATGATATGTAAAACTTGCAATGTGTGCACTTCCTCTCTGGAAGCCGAGGAACTGTGGGAAAGATGCTGATGTTATATTGTAATAGAACCGGATATCTTTCAGAGTCCATCTTGAAACAGAGAATTTTCAGGTCAATTCAGGTCAATTTAGGTCTAACTAAAACACTGCAACAACAAAAAAAGAAAACCAAAAAAGAAACAAATATATATGAGGTTTTAATCAACATACTATTCATTTTTTTTTTTTAAATCAACATTTAGGAAGAAAAAAATATTGTATTTATATTTATCCATAAATCATATACTTGTAAATGATGTCAGTGAAGAGTCAACATACATTGGTATACATTTTGTAAGAATTCAAGCGAATGTTCTAACTACATATTATAACAACGATTGAGCTTGTGTTCCCCAGATCTTGGCCCGCGTCTCTCCATAAAGACTGAAACATCTCCATGGATAAAAGTAGATTGCTAATCATTCACCAGCAAAGTTTCATAGTGCATCTTGGAAATCAAATCCTAAACAGAAAAATACCTTCAACTGAAAACAAGATTGATCCTTACAAAAGACAGATGTGGATGGGAAATCCCTGGGGAAATCCCATCCGTGCTGTGACACCAAACATTCATTGCCCCAGAGTTGAAAACAAGTTTTACATGTTCATTTTATTACAATAGAATTATTCAAATAGTGGTAAAGCAGACACGGTTTCTCACGTGTCCAAATTGGATGAAATTGGATGAATATGGAGCCTTTGCTCCATAAACCGTGGACGAGAAGCAGGACACAGACCACAATGACCAATGTAAAGTGTTGTCAGCAGTTTTATCCTCAAGTATTTGAGGTTATTTATCAGAGCCAAGCCATTGTGCATGTAAAAGACTTTCCATCTCAGGGATTTCATAGATGACATTTGATCCATACACCTCAAATAATGCATGTGGAAAATGTACGGTCTACTTTCTGAAAAAACCATCTACATTGTTCCCTGTTCAGTTATAATCTTCATCATTTCCATCCTCTGTTTGGGCTCCAACCAAAGTCAACTTTGCTGAAATGTTGATATTTATAGAATTGAATTTCTCCCGTCCAGTTCATTAAATCTTTCTCAGACACCTTGGCAAACATTAAAAAGCCTACAGTAAAATATTATTAAAGACATTTTAAGCTCTAGAATATAAAATATAATAGACCATAGTCAACACTGCTGTTTTTGTCTTTTTCATGCTTGTTGTTAGAAATACTTGTAAAATGGGGGATTTTCCTGTTTACAAATGTACTTCTACTTGTGTGTGTGTCAGTAAATGTTACAGTCGTCCACTGCTAATTGAATCAGAGGCTTCTTTCACGGTGCGTTTAAGTACATCTCGTCGACATATATCAGATTAGCCGGCTGCTCTGGCCGTCTCAGTGGAGTCCCTGCAGTGTGGTGGCCTGTGTCTTATTGGATTAAAGTGAGAGGCAGTGCATTATTGACACACACTGGTCTGGGGCAGTCCATTCAGGAAGACTGACAGATTAGGTCACTACCACTGACTCATCACTCTCATTCACTGCACTGGACGTATGCTGCAACAGGTGTCACTAGAACACACCATGTGCATATACAGTACATAAAAACAAAACGACAAAGACAAAAACAAAAACAAAGACTTGATATACTTTGACAACACAGTCTTATTTGACAAATTAATCATTGGTGTCTACAATGTGATAAGGTTGTGAACCCTGGGGAAATAAGTGTTGGCCATTTGCTGTTGCCCAAAGTCAGGACTGAAAGTGGGGCAACATTTAAGACAATCCAGGAACTAATCGCAACCCTTTTCAAGTAGCTCCCCAAAGGATTCACGAGTTTGACTAAACCCCAAACGATTACATTTTGAGTAATTTCAAAATTACTACATGTTTCATTAGTACATTATGGAACAATATACAGATCAATATCCATGATCTTCCACAGATTTTTTCCACAACAACAAAAAGAACAAAAAAAGAGTTGCTTTCTGTGTAAAAGTAGCCCTCCAAACAACAAATGTTGGGGACCCCTGATATACGCTGTATGCAGACTTCTACCCTAACAATGTTCAGATCCAGATTAAAAACGGTTCTGTTGCACTGTGCATGTCTGTAGATCATTGTGATCATTTATGATGTGAATGCCTTTTGTGATTGTAATGTTTCTTTTTTTTAAGCACTTTGAGTTGCCTTGTGTATGAACTGTGCTATACCTTTCCTTTCCCATTTCTATCACTGTAATTCTTATTTGGACATTACAGACTTGAAATGTCAGTATCCTATCCATCTTTCCATTTTCTTCCCCTTAATCCATTTCTGGGTCAGGGGGAGGCAGTCAGAACTTCACCCAGTAGTGGTGAGTCCACAGGGGCCTTGATCTTTCAGTGGGGGCTTCAGGCAAAGTGGGGTTAAGTGTCTTGCCCAAGGACACAACGACAGCAGTCATCAGTGGGAGTCGTGAAGTAGGTCTTGTGGTGGGCTCGAACCCACGACCTTCAGGCTCTAAGGCCAATGCTCTACCAACTGAGCCACTGTCGCCCCGTGGCCTAGTAAAATAAAATTCCATTCCATAATGAGTTTCTGTTGGAGTGTGTGCCAGTGCTTGAGTAAGTATAGTTGTAGACATCATATACAAATACACTATTATGCCACTATTTTAGTACCTGATCACAGCCATAGCGTCAACACACTTTTCAATGCAGAGTAATAACATATGACTGTGTCTTGGGACCGTCCCATGGTCGTGAGGGGCGTGAATGGGGATAATCTGTCTGGTATGTGAGTATATGTCTGTGTGTTTGTGAGTAGAGCTGAACAAGGCTTTGTGCCGTGATTCAATATGACCAGAACAAAACCATCCACTGTCTTCAGACGCTTCTTGATGACAGCTGCTGTATTCAATTGTTGTATGTAAAAAAAAGATATATATATTTTTAAATCTAATTGAATTTTAAAAGTATGATATATAATATTTTTTATGTTTTGGAAATACTGTATGGTCTTTTACATTAAAGTTGAGCAACGTTGGACTTAATTCAGAATTATTTACATTTTGTACTCCTCATAACTGCAATATGTGTAAACGCTGTATTTTAGTCAAGGTTCTCACTAATCTTGAGAGAGTCATGTGTGTGGTACACAGTATTAAACAATGTAACAATCTGTGATTTTGTTATGAGAACATTTAAGGACAGTTCAGATTATAACTTCATATCAACAATGTGGTCATAGGTTAAAAATGGAGGCTAATACAAAGGCGTGATTTAAATAAAAATACATCAAAGATTGATAAAGATTTTTTTCAAGCAAATATTGTTAATGTGATCTTTAACAGCCTTTAACGATCCTGACTCTCTCCTTTTCTACTGCTTATTCATGTTTCCATCGTTCCCTGTGGTTGCAGACAGATGGTATCAAGTTGTGGCTGTATTATAAATGTTTTATAATTGTTTCTTTCACTGCCGCCTCTTGGCTGTCACTCTCCACTGTAGCAGAACCAGATGATGATTTCACCCACAGTGATTCTTATTGATACATTTGCAGTTGGGCAGAGGGCAGTAATATGAGACGGCTTGACCCCTGGAGGTTAGGCCAGTTTAATGATGCAGGTTAAAGTTCAAAACCATGGGCAGTATGTGTTTAACCTGGCATTTTAAGACCTTGGAACATATTTGAAATCATTTGGAATATTGGAAAAATAATTTGAATGTGCCAACATTCGTGCACGTCTTCAGGATCAAAAATCTAATCCTTCTGGTGGAAAAAAATAACAATAACGAACAACAATGGTATTGGCTCGGGCTGAATATTAGTACAGAGATTCTGATGAGAATGAGGCTTAGAGCGAGGGGTAAAATTATATATCATAGACTATAGATTATAAAATCCAAGTTGATCATCTATTTGCGTAGGCTTTTAATGATTTAACTAGTTTTCTTTAACATTAAATTATGTTGATGTTCTTATCAGGACACTACGCTCACTGGAGAATTTTACCTGTGGTGCATGTAAAGCAGGTGGGTGAAAGCTGGAGCTGTAGTGTGAGATCCTTCACTGAACACTAGATTAACAACTACAGACCATCCTTCACAGTAGACCATCCAGAACAGCAGTGCATTCAAGGGACAACAACAAAATGACAACGGTGAGATGAGAGAGAAACTTTATTGACTCCACAAAGTCTTGAGGGAGTCAGGCGGATATCCCTCAAACAAAAGCCCCCTGGTACAGCCGGTCATGTGATCTCCAGATCAGGAAATGCAGAGTAAAGACTACAGAGAGCCATGTGGGAAAGGTCTCATTAAATACACAGCAGCGCCATGGTAACAGCAGGGGCACATAAACAAGTCAATGGATAGAGAGCTGGGGACTTCATCGCTGAAGGCAAAGTGCACGTTGCAATACTAGAAATCATAATTTTCTCAAATTTTTCTCAATTTTTTCTCACATTTTTCTCACATATATAGCAGGAAAGTCGAGTACAATTCAGATGTATGGAAATGCGAGCCCAATCACAGGAAGAAGCCTTGTCTTGTTTTTATTAATTGTGCAAGAACTGTCCTCAAACGTTGTATTTTTCAGGCAAACTTGGGGAAAAAAGACCTATTTAGTTCATTAGGTAAACTGTCACAAAGCAGAATTTATGCTTATTCTGCGTTTCAGCCAAAATTACCATCTAAATGAGACTACCCTGTCTGCAAGTTGGAATGTTTCTATTATAACTAAATTCTGTACAGCCGTATACTTTGAGCCATTACAACATGCATTAAAGTTAGACAACTGTAATAAGTTAAAAGTGTTCTGAATATATCTCCCTCTGCACAGAAACCCTGAGAATCATTCCATTTCCTCTTAAAATGGACTTGGACTTAACACAGTATCATAAAGTCTGGCACATACCTTCTGCACCGATGGACACCAGCTTGACTCCTTTACTAGCGATGAAGTTGAGGGCTTTGTTTACATTTGAAATCTTGTGAACTCTCATCTTTCCTCGTTCTGGTTTAGCCAAGCGCTCGCCTGAAGGACAAAAAAATAAGAAAAACTTTCAGTGGCGTGTAAAAACAAAAAACAAAAACGTTATAAAATCATCATATTTAATCCAGCACATGAATATTCCACTGTATTTGGGTATTTAATTGGGGCGTCAACAACAACAACAATTTATTCTTGTATAGTCCTAAATCACAACAGCAGTCATCTCAGGACTAAACAAAACCAATGAAATCACAAAACAGATCAGAGAATCAACAGTTAAGACACAAAATATAAACATATGAATTGGTCCAAAGGGAGAGACCAATGTCCATGAATGTTGATAAATGTCCATACATGTTGTAGAATGTTAAAGTGTCCTGGATCATCACCACAGTCCTCCTAGTTGGACACTAACTGCCCAACAGACCCTCCTGCATCGGCAAGGAAAAACTCAAAAGAAAAACCCAATGGGAAAAAAAGTGAGAAACCTCATTATGCAGCCCATTAGCAGCCAGATTCATTCTAATAAAATCTCTAATATGATTTAAAAGATTGCAATTAGCAAATAAAGAGACTGATTGTTCTTTAGCAGACAAATAGAAAGCTTATATAGCCACATTCAAATTTCACTATGCAATGACTACTTTGCTGCTTTTAAAATGTAGATATTGACACTTTCCGGAGACTTGGAGTATATCATTACACAGTCTTTATACTCTAGTATGAAATAATTTTGGATTATTAATAGGTGATTCCTGACCCGAGATGACTTCCAGCAGCAGCATGAGTTTGAGTCCGTCCCGAAAGTCCTCCTCGATGTTCTCTATCTGTGTTCCGGATTTCCTCAAGTGGGAGTTGCACCATGCTGTGAATGTCTGTGAAAGAAAGAAGAACAAAATGTGAGGAACATTGTATTGTTTTCTAGTTTGCTTTTTATTCATATGGAGTTCTAAGCCTTATTTGCCTATTCTAATATCAGATAACAAGAACTTTGGACTACACATCATTGTAAATTGGTGATTTATGGGAATCAACGACCATGTGTTTTAATTAGAACAATATCTAATCAGCATGGCTTTTTTTTGGTCTATTGTTTTGAGTCAGAATTAGCAATCAGCATTCTTGCCAAAGCAAAATCCAGTTCCAATTGTCCATATTGTCAATCCAGGAGGACATCAAACAATCAATCAATCAAAGTTTATTTGTAGAGCGCCTTTCATACACAGGGCAACACAAAGCGCTTCACAGTCCACATCACAAATCATCACATAAAACAAACACCAGAATCACAATTAAAACATTAAAATCACAAAAAAGATTAAAACACAATTAAAACATTAAAATCACACAAAAGAATAAAACCATTAAAACTTTCAAAATTACACAAGAAATTAAAAAAAAAAAAAAAAAAAAAAAAATGACAGCAGTGCATTAGAAATGGAGATAAAATCCTTCAGTTGTATGCACAGGCAAACAGAACAGTCTTTAACCTGGATTTGAACATTGACAGAGTAGACGCCTCCCTCACATTTCCAGGGAGATTGTTCCAGATCTTAGCTGCATGGATCTGAAACGCAGCCTCCCCATGTTTGGTTCTCACTCTGGGCACCAGCAGGAGGCCAGTCCCTGTGCTCCTCAGAGTCCGGGCCGGTTCATATGACACCAACATGTCACTAATGTATTCTGGTGCAAGGCCATGGAGAGACTTGTACACAAGCAGAGCCGTTTTAAAATCTATTCTTTGAGCCACAGGAAGCCAGTGCAGAGACCTGAGGACCGGACTAATATGGTCATACTTCCTGGTTCCTGTCAGGACTCTAGCTGCTGCATTTTGGATGTACTGCAGCTGCTTACAGGTCTGTTTGGACAGACCTGTGAGCAGGCCATTGCAGTAGTCTAGCCTGCTGGAGACAAATGCATGGACAAGAATCTCCAAGTCTGCCCTGGACACTATATTTCTAACTTTGGCAATGTTCTTCAGATGGTAAAAAGCTGTTGATGTTATTGATTTTATGTGGCTATTGAAATTTAGGTCTGAGTCCAGTATTACCCCCAAATTTCTGACCTTGTCTGAAGGAAGTAGGGAGAGAGACTGAAGTTGACAAATGACGCCCTCTCTTTGTTTTTGGGGACCAAAGACAATGATTTCGGTTTTGTCTGTATTTAGCTGGAGGAAATTATTTTGCATCCAGTCACTGATCTGTTGGATACAGTGAAGGAGCAAATCCAGTGGTCCATGTTCTCCTGCAGTCAGTGAGACATAGATCTGAGTGTCGTCGGCGTAATTGTGGTAGGACACTTTGTTTCTTTTTGTATTAACTGACCTAACGGCAGCATGTAGAGATTAAATAGGAGAGGTCCCAGAATCGACCCCTGTGGTACTCCACAGGTCAGGGCCACATCATCTGAGACGCAGTCTCCAATCTCCACAGAGTACTTCCTATCCTCCAGGTAAGACCTAAACCAGTCTAGGGCTGTGCCAGTGACACCAACCCAGTCCTCCAGTCTCTGCATGAGGATCTCATGATCGACAGTGTCGAACGCGGCACTAAGATCTAACAAGCACACAACCTAAATGCATCCAGGGAAGCATCATATTTGTGCAAAATTCAATGCCTGTGTCTTCTGAGATGCATTGATTCTTAAGCGCTTGCCATGACTAAATCACCTGGATCTATTAGTATTTTCTATAGAGCATACAAGCAACTTCCTCAATAAAACTCAAAACAACAGTTCAAATGTCAAACTCCATTCCTCCTTTATAGTTCTATTGTAATACTGACCAATCCATTCACTTGGAGCCAACCAGGGCTTTTCCCCACTCTTTCTACAGGCCTGACATTGTATCTTTGTGCATTGAGTACAGTAGGTGTCGTGGGCTCTGGATTGTCTGGTATTGCTGGCATTTTAACAGTCCAATGGGAAACATGTGTGGCTGCCGGATCTGAGACGCCCAAAAGGAGCTGGTATTAACTGTCAATCTTCCAAAGACCTCCATAGACTTTGTCATGAACACCTCTTTTACGAGACCCTGTTTAATTACATCCATGGACTGTGCAGAGACAGAGAGGGACAAGGAAGACAGAGTTAGGCCTAAAGAATGGGCTACTTGTTACAAAAGCCACAGAGCAATTTTCTACTTTATTATTACAGTGAGAACCCAAAATGCAACCCAAACCCAAAGTGTTGAAGCCGCCATGTTTCAAATAGGAAGACAGCATGATCTTCTTTTCCTGATCGTTCTCAATCTCAATATAGCAGCTGTCAGAGTCACTATTGTGACAGTAATGTTTGTTTTATAACAGACTACAAGGTCTTTGTGTTTTCATTTTGCTGTTGTATTTGTTAGAAACAGGTTTTAATAAGCACAGGCAGCAGTGGGAACCAGCGAGTCTATTCATCAACCTTGCTCCTGATTGGCTGTGACATCACCTTGTGACAAAACGGCTGCAGAATTAGCAATCTATAACTTCTAGCACGATGTGGGTTCATTTGAAACAAACGATATGGGTGACGCCCAGTTAGTAAGCAACTGATGCAACTTCTTTTGAAATGCACTAGGTTATTCAAGGAGCTACAATGTAACAATTTTAAGATTCATTCATTCATTTTCTACCCTTCACTGATTCTCCAGCAGGTGGTAAGCCCACAGGAAGATGGCTGCTCTGTTAGCGGTGACGCTTCAGGCAATGAAGGGTTAAGCGTCTTGCCCAAGGACACAACAGACCAGTTGGAGTAGGTCTCATGGGGGGATCGAACCCACGACGACTTGGAGTCTTACTGAAATTAATCATCTCTCTTGACTGAGACCGTGAGACTGGAGCTAACCGATGTGCATACTGTGGTTAGTACTATAAACAATAAAGGGTTATATTAGGTAGCCTAAATCTTATTAAAGAGCACGTCTTGCGTCCATCACAATTCAGTCTGTCGAGCTTGTAATTTTCTGAAGCTGCCCACTCTTGCATGTTTCTTTTCCACTAGAGAGAAATTAAACCACTTAAAAGTCCCCATTGGCTGATAGTATTCGTGGCTTCCTTTATGACTTCACCCTAAACATCAGTGGTATGAGGTTAACGTAGCCATTAATAATCCTATATCAATCCTTCAACAGCTGTGGAGCAGAAATTGAAGGAAAGAACTGATTATCTGTGATCATTCATGAGCTCTCTAAAAAGAGGATAGCAGCACACACAATCTGCATTTCAAGATGACTGTAGAACCAACTGCTTTGATCTAACAAATAATAATATTAGAAAATAATAATATTAGAAAATAAGTTGGGAAGTGGTAAGCAGTAGATAGTCGTCTTAGTAGTTGATAATAGTTATGTCCCGATTCAGCTTATTTCTTCATTCTTGTAATACTGATACTGGACTAAAACAGGGTATTGAATACACAATGCAAAAAACATTGTAACACTATACTGGATAAAAGCCACATCAGACCAAATAATAACCAACAAAAAGGAGCTGAGAGCATAAATATGTTTTGTTCAAAAGAGCAAATCAAAATCAGGATTGTTAGATTGTTTGAGATCTGGAATAAAACTAGATCAATATATGAGAAACCAAATTAAAAAACACAAATGCTGAGAGACAATATTTTCCAACTCTTCAATAATTAAATCTATCTACTTTATAGCAAGAGTTCTAAAAGCCTTTGCCGTATAATGTTTGTATGCATTCATCTTGGGAACAATCGCCATGCCGTCATCAACAATTAAATGCAGATGATACATTTTGTCTTTCATGTGTGGAAACTAACATGACTCACTTACTAGATTAAAGTCTAAATCCAGCTTTAATGAGTCGTAGATTAAAAGACACAGTAACTCTGTCTAATACCAGAAGATCTAATACCAGCGTCTGCAAACTTGTGAATTACAGGAATCTGATGCTTATGGGTCGAGAGTCTAGACTCAGGGCTGGTCGGGCCTCCTGCTGCTGCTCTCGTTGTTGGTCAAACCGGGTCTTGGCTCAGTGTGTCCTCGGGTGGCAAACACCTGCAGATCACATGACCGTAAGGTGCATCATGTGACGACTTTGGCTCCGTCCACGGTGCCAGGCTTTAAGGTCAGCAGAGTAGATCACATTTTAAGGACCCGTTTACGCAACGTCTGCTCTTCAAAAACATGCACTTGTGTTTTAAGGTTTTGACTCACGCAGGTATTCACACAAATACGGTTTGTCTCCAAAAGTTAGTTTGCAGTAAAAACACATTTATTAAATTGATTGTAATTTTAAGATGATTTTGCAAACATTCAAGTTTGAGAAAAACAGAATAGATAATGAAAGCATTTAGAGTTCACGAAGCAAGGTCCTATACATTAATCAATATTAAACAGGAGCCTTCCATTTGCCAGATAATTGAGACCCCTTTGCACATACTTCTTGATTGTATAACTTGCACTATTCAAGATGTTGTATATCTCACAGAACAATGTACATAAATTATCATGAGTACAGTAATACCCTTTGAAATTGTCTCCTGCTCAGTCATAATCTGAGTTTTCCGGGGAAGAGCCATCATCGTTTGAGGAGAAAACCCATTCTCAATCTTTTAAAGGTCCCATTAAAATGTGTATAGCAAAAATTTGCATCTACATGAAATTATGAGGTAACACTTGAAGCTGTATTTTCATAAAGTGTGTAAGAAAAAAAAAAATTGGCTATCTGCACACCAAGGGAAATCTACTACTTCTCAAAACATTTACACCTCACAAATTACACTGCTATCTCTGAATGTTATGGTTTAGATCTATAATTTATCATCTTGAATGACAGTTCAAATGTAACCTTGGATCAAACCCGTTCTTGTGGCTCTCGTATGATGATCTATGTGCGACCAACTTGTCCGTGTCATTACATACAGT